CCACATAGAAGAAAAAATAAAATACGGGATAGTTTTTGTTCTTTATGAACTTTCAGAACTAAAATCTTGAAATTCTTTTAAGATAGGAACTTATTCTGAGCAGACAATCAAAAAATTTAAGGATGATTAACTTTGATTTCCATTCAGATCAAATACTTTACAGGCACTAGAAGATGTTGATTAACAAAAATGCATACATACACACACTCCTTATTTATATGTATTTTTATAGATCACTTAAACATTATTTTTAGTGGATACTTATATTTGAATAGACACTCCATTTTTATTTTTAAACAATATATTATCATTGTACCAACTTGAATATGCAAGAAATTTTATTAAAGAAAAATATGAACCCTCTGACAGGAAGCATATTTTTTCTTTAATAAGATTTCTTGAATATTCAAGCTCATAGAGAATAATAAATATACCATTTAAAAATCAAAATCAATCGTCTTCTCAAATATGGGCATCCATTAAAAATGATGTTTAAGTGATATAAAGCTGGTAGATTAATAAATAAAAAAATCTGTTACTTCTTTAGAATCTTTATGCATATTTATACATATGTAAACGTGTGTGTGTATATATATGTAATGTCCATAGGAAATGCTTTGTATATTAATATTCCTCCATTTTCACAAGTACACACTGGTTTATGCTTCAATTTCAGACTTCTGTAACAAGCTTTGTGGAATTGCTGACCAAATTTGGAAATAATTTTATTTTACAAATATCAAAATAAGACCAACTGAAATAAGCAATCCATACAAGTTGATAAAAAATAACTTCATTTTGTTTTTCTTCCCCCTCCCCCCGCTTAGTGATTTATTTTATTTTTCTCTTATTTTGAGACAGTTTCTGAAAATGTCATTAGTTTTGGTATTATTCTTGAAGTATTTACATGAATTACACATTAACTATTGTCCTCATGTTTGTTATTATTATTATCATAACGTTTCAACCATTACACTTCTAACCTTCATCAGTTGTTTGTCAATCTGGGTAACCTTCAAGGAATTTCAACCTGAACACTTTATTTAATCTATAAGGGTTTGTTTATTATCATACTCAAGAATTTTTTTTTTTCTTTAAATCATTTCACCCCCAAACAAGTTGATAATTCCAATAAAATGATGAGTGTTACTGGGAATGAAAGAGAATGAGAAGATTTTAGAAGGAACTGGAAACCCAATCCTAAACACGAAACAAGGGATAAACATCTACTCCTGTTCAAAAGACTGGGAAGGATTGTGAACCAGGCAATAGGCAAACCCATCTACTCCTCATCTAGTTCTAAATTTAATACTGCTCAGTTGTGTTTGATAAGATATTCTTTGGTTAACAATGAAAATCTACCTTTGTAGATTAAACAAAGAATTCATTATTTACATTATTCGGATTATTGTCCTCATCTTTGTTGCCATATTTATCACAACATTTTGGCTGTTGTATGCTCTGGCCTTCTTCAGGTGATTGGAATGTCGAACTGAACCCTTTATTTTGCTTGCTGGGGTAGACTGTTTTAGTTCCACGTGCCTTGTCTAATGGATGTCGGTTATCAGTTATCTCCTGTTAATTCCTCTCTTCAAGTTCTCCACCACATTAACCAGGTGTTGAATTCACATTCTTTACAGGTGTTAGTTAGATCCAGTGACAGCAACCAAAGAGTGTGATTTTAATACCTAGTTAAGACAGTGGAGAACTTAGAGAGGGGAATTAACAGGTGATAACCGACATCCATTAGACACGGCACATGGAACTAGAACAGTCTACCCCCAGTGAGTGAAAGAAAGGGCTCAGTTCGACATTCAGACCACCTGAAGAAGGCTAGAGTGTACAACGGCTGAAACATTGTAATAATTATGGCAGCAAAGATGAGGACAATAGTCCTTATAATGTAAATAGTGTACATAATACCTCATCTCAGAAATATATATATATATATATATAGAGAGAGAGAGAGAGAGACAGATACAAAGAATTCTGTTTGAAATTTCCTAAAGGTTACAGAGATCAACAAATGCCTGATAAAGGCCAGAAGGCACAGCAACTGAAACAATGTCATAACAACAACAAAGATAAGGATACTAGTCTTATGTGCAAATGAAGTAAATAATGGCATGCTTCTCATTCCAGAAATTCAGGCAGAAAGTTCTTGAAGTAATTTCATTTTTACTGTTGGTCAAACTTAGGTAAATTATTTAGAAATATATAAGAGAAATTTAATTAAAGAATGCCAATATTACTGCACTGAAAAATATTGCTCTTTCTATCATCATCATCCATATTATAAATTAAATGTAATTATTTTCATTGATAAAATATCTAAATGCTCGCTACAAGAGTCTGCCCATCAGTCTTTAATGCTTTCAAAGTTAACATTAACTTATTTTTTTTTCTCGTCTTCTATATAGAAGTTGTGTCTCTCTTTTGAAATTTCTTGACATCGCAAGAACACATGCACACATTTTGTAATAATGAACATTCACCTATGAAAGGAAAAGCAAATAAAGAATGAAGAAAAAAAAACAACAGAATGTTTTAAATTCATCAAATAAGCTTCCACAAAACAAAATATTTAATCCTTCCTCATCTTTTCATTCAATGATTTTTTTTTTTTTTTTTTTTTTTTCAATGAGTATTTCTCTCTTTGTCCGTTTCATGAAACTGGATTTTTCTGCCTCACAATAGGAATGGGGGATTTTCCGAGAAACCTTTCTTTCTTTCATATATTACAGTTTATCAAGTATCAAAGAACACTGATAATAAGCATTCAAGTTCAAAAGTTTAATCAGAATTAAATCTCTACTGCTTCTTGTTTTAGAATAGATCAAATTCTTAAGATATTAGTAATCAATAAGCTTAGCTTTGTCTGGTACAAGGCCACAACAGTAGAGCACCCAGTGGGGACTGAAACTAGTAATGATCTTTAAGACTAGCTTGTTAACGGCTTTTCTGCAGTGAGGTGCTTAATAAGGTTATTTTTCTAAGCTTAGCTTTGTCTGGCACAAGGCCACAATATTGGAGCACCCAGTGGGGATCAAACTCACTATAGTAAAAATGGCTTGTGAGTGGGAGACAAGGTTGCTAACCATTGCTCCAAGGCGTGGCATTTAAATTTTAAAGATACTAAATTAGTACTTGTTAGAGAAGAACAATACATTGGAGAATTCTTGTAATTGTCACATTTTTTTGTACACATTATCTGATTGATTTTCATGAGATTGTTTAAGAATAAGTGTATGCATACATGTATGTGCTTACAAATCAGTGAAAAGAGTGTGTAGAATGTCTGTAGATAGAAAAAAAAAAAGAAATGTATGTGGACGTGGACATTTTAAAAACATACTTTAAACAGTGTTCATACCCATCAATATATATATATATATATATATATATATATATAGCAAGCATCAAAATATAGACGCATGTGTTCTTTAACATTGATAACGGCTCTGACAATACTTAACAAACTGAATCTAAATTAATCCAAGTTTCTTTTACTTAAATTTATATACAAACATAGAAATATATTTACTGCTGTAAATGAAGTTTTATATTCAAAACTCTATGTATGTATGTATGTGGCTGGAGATTAGATTCAAATCAAGTGTGTGTGTGTATATATGTATGCATTATATATATGTAAAAGTACTTTGAGTGAGTCTAGCCAATTAGGGTGGGGGCAGCAAAGGAACTGCTCGGAAAATAATACAATTTACATGTGAACAAAACCACAAATTTTGGTGAATGCCTGACCATGTAAGTATTTGTGTGGTTGTGAAAATGCAAAAACTGTTCTTTGAGTAAACAGTTGGCACATAGTGCCTGTCAATGAATTAAACCGGAAACTAGGTAGATAGAATGAGAAAGGAAGAGTGAAGGATCATTAAACAGAGTTTATATATATATATATATATATATATATATATATATATATATGAATATTTTTTTTCAGTGTTCCACAGTTCTTTGTTTGTTTGTTTTTTTTTTTAATTTCTTTTGGTTTCATGTTTGTCTTTCTGTGTGTGGGTAGGTGTGTGTGTGTGGGGGGGTGTTTGTTCATTTAGTCCATTTTTTTTCCAGTTTCATCACCAAATAAACTCAATATGGCAAAAAAGGGGGGAGGAAAAAAAAAGAAAAATATTTTTGCTCTTCTTTGAAACCTGAAAAATAATTCAATCTTTTTAAAATTTCTCAAATTCTGTTTTTTTTTTTTTTAATTTTTTTTAAAATTTTTATTAGTGATTATTATTTCATTTTTTTTTTTGTATTTTCTTTTATATGAGCGATTTTTGCTGTCAAAATCTTCTTTATATTAAAATCCATATCTGCAGGTTTTCTTTTATTAAATGTCCATTGTTTATCATTTAATTCCACACATACACACGTTATATATATATATATATATATATATATATATATTATTGTAGATTTTTTTTAAATTTTTTTTTTTTTTTATTTTTTTAGGGGGGGGAGGGAGAGAAAGATACTCAGATGAAAATGACAGCAATGAATATTTTTCATAGTATTTTCCTTTCATCTTTTTATAAAAAGCATCCAACCAGTCAATTGACTGATTGTGTAATAATTACAAAGATTCTTGTCAGAACAAGGGGCTCCTGACCCCAAAAAATGTCCATACATTCAGCTCTCTATATTATACTTTTAGTTTTACTAAAATGGTTAATACCATTTGATCTCTTTTTCATCATTTTTATAAATACTTTTATAAACATTTTTTTTTTTTTTTTTTTTCATGATTTTATTAGCATTTCTGGTCTTGTCACTATTTGAATGTTTTTAATTCTTCATATAAAAGAATATATATATATATATATATATATATATATATATATATATATATATATATATATATATATATATGTTGGTTTTCTTTTTCCAAAAAATCTTTCCTCCATTTGATTTTTAAAAATGGGAGAAGTATAATATTACTTCTATATAGTATTTCTTTTGTCATATTTTTTTTTCTTTTAGATTAAATGTAGTCCAATGGAGATGACTAGAAGGACAAAAATACCCGCTAAGGATGGGCTGTTCGCATTTCCAATGTAATAATTTCCTGGGACAATCTGCAGCTGAACTATAGTTGTGGTTGTCTTGGAGCTTGGGTGAGATGTATGGATTGGATGTTTTATACACAACTGTTCGGATGGTGGCCGGAGCCAAATATGAATCCCATTCACTTGGAACTCAGGATAGAGCATACATGGTGGCACGTTTTTTTTTTTGAGTCCAATGAACTGAAAAATATAAAAGCAAATGATTTTTAAGATGACGATTATATCAACAATGACTTGAAAATTAACTTTTTGGTGGTCATCGACCAAAATAGGGTCTTTAATATAGATTTACTAAGCATAGTAATGGTCAGAGGTGGTCATCAACCAAAATAGGGTCGTAATGGTCAGAATATGACAGGTGGGTTCAAATCACACTATGGTAAATTTGTCATGGAAGTAACTACTTTATAATATTAGCTTGGGAAGTCAGCACTACTGGAAAGTTGTGTCAGTAGGTATTGAAATTTGCCTGAGCAGGTGTCTGCAACAGGGATTACTAAACATCATAGAAAAAAAACATAGAAGCCAGTTACTACTCATTTCTGTGGACACCTGTCCATCAAGGTGGGGAGAAAATCCCTATTACAGACACCTGCACAACCTACAGTCCCAAAAATAGTTTGAGTGAAAACCTAGTTACAATTATTGGGAGTTAGCGTATAATTTTTGCATGATCAATATTTTTTAACAAGTCTAGCATGCTTAAACATGATGACTTTTGCTAGCACAACCATTGAAGACTGCCAAACTGTTCCCTCTACCCAATTTTTCTCATTAGGCTTGGGTTAACATGTGGGGTATGGATTTCAGGCACCCTTTCCCTTTCATCTCCTTGACAAATCAGCCATGTTGAGATTCAAACCCAGGTTTCATGGCCAGAAAGCAAACATTCTAACCCTCAGCCATACACCCTTATCCATCTACCTCCTGGCATGAAAATCACCAATTAATAGATCAGGAATGGAGAATGAGAAACCTAAAGGAAACATTATACATGAACAATTGTAAAAATCAGGTTGGCGGCATTTCTTTGCTCAATAAAGAATCTGAGAGCATCCTTGCATAAACAATATAAAATAAATACAGTATTTCCTGTTTTACATTGGTTGCTGAGAATAGATTCACATGTTGTTGTAGTGTCGTTTGACAGTGGAGGCTTGTATTTGTACTAAGTCGGTCCTAAAATACGTTCGACGTACAAAACGTTAGGAACTTGATATAATAGGTAATGACGCAGAGAAATCTAGTTGTGGTCGCTGATACTTTAGTATCCGACTAAAGGTCGTCCGGCATCGACTGACTGACTGACCGACCCCCTGAGCAATGACTTGTTACTCTTACTTATTATAGGTGGGTGAGTCTATTAACTATAGAATAGGTGTGTTCCACTATAACACATGTGTAACTTGCATTGTTTAGAATGAACAAAGCTGGATGATAGATTTATTCTCTGTCCTCCACCTCAAAAATCTCTTTTCTTTCTTTATGGATTGTATACCTGAAGAAGGCTGTATAAGTTGTCAACCAAAATGTTTTGGGGACAACAACATTATCAGCAAGAATGAGTTCAATAGAGCAAACAACACCTCAAATGATATCTGCTCAAAATGACAAAACACTGTGATCATAAGAAATGGATCAGAGGACAATTACTCACCGCATACAGGCTTGGAGAGAGATGATACCAGCTAAGGTCAAATTTATTGTTTTTTGGTGGATTTCCTTGGAATATCCACCCAAAGGCACCCAATTTTCCATCAGTGTATGTTAGAAATACGGGGTAGAGATCCTCGCATCGTAATTTCTTTGAAAGGTTCTTAAAATAATGAGTACCTGTTAAAAAGAAAAAAAAATCATTGCATTATCAAAGCTCTGAACAATTTCTCATTTTTTCATGCATTTCAGTGTGTGGGTTTCAAATAGAGAAGACACAATGACATTTCTATGTACAGTTTAAAGTAATTCCTTTTCCATATAACATAAAACACACATTTATTTTTGTCAGTGCATAATTAGTTATAGGCATGTGAACACTACACATTCTTCTTTAATGCAAGGGTTTTTCCTGATAAACAATCTAGAAAGCCCAGACCAATATTATGCTTTATGCTCTTTCCCAGATTTGAATATTTTTCTGTGGGGATATGTTAAAATCTTTGTTTACTCAGCAAAATCTTTACATTATTATCACATTATTTACAATATTATTACTTCATTATTATATTATTTACATATTTTTAATGATTTCACCCCAAGCAAGATGAAAGCCATTAAGACACAAGGGGTTAATGAGTGTGAAAGAATATGAGAAAAAGAAAAATATTAAGGAAAAAGAACAATAAAAGAATAGGAATTAAGGAGACAGAAGATAACAATGATTATTATTACATTATTTACATTTGGACATTAGTCCAAATGCAAATAATGATATTTTTCCATTTGGAAATTCAGACAGCATCCATCTTTAAAATTCATTGTGCAACTTAGAATTCTTGGAAATGTTGTTTGCAGTGCAAAATTTGTTGATGTTATTTGCTATTATTAAGCTTAGTTTTCAGTTGCATAATGTTTCAGGAATTGAGAATTTAAACAAAAGACTTAATCATTACAGTTAAGGGAAATATTAACAAAATCAATAATTTTAATTAACCATTTAATACAAGAATGTTTCTCAAAGTTGATTTTTTTTTTGTGTGTATGTATGTACATAGGAAGAGGTGCTGAAAAGTCAATGCAAACATTCTTCCTACTAAAAAAATTTAAAAAGTAAAAAAAAAAAAAAAACAAACCAAAACCTGATGTTTTGTCATATATTGGGAAGTGGATTGAGCTGAGATGATAACTTTTTGCTATCAACTTGTGTATATATATATTTATATTCAGTTTTATGGATATGAGTTTGTGACCCTGGGTTTCACGCTTTTGCGATCATCAGGCAAACTGGTTTATTTTTTAAAAATTGAATCTATTTATAGTCGTTTATGTTTGGTGGTGGGAGGGGAGATTCTCCTCTGTTTCTGTTTGGGATGACACTCTACACACATACATACAGACATACATACATACAAACATACAGATGTATGCATTTTAGTTCACACAAACACACCCATGTAAACAATTCAAGATTAAGAGCAGATACACATCCATGTGTTCAAGCATGCATACTTTCCAGTAAGTACTGCGCATATAAAATTATATATACATAATTTTTATTATTTCAAATGTCATTTTTTGCAGATACTCATATTTGAATAGACATTCCGTTTATTTTAAACAATATTTATTTTATCTATCAACCTGTGTATTGACAAAATTCTGCCACGATTAAATGTTTGCAGAATGAACTTTAAGCAGACAATTTAAGAAACTTCCGTCATAAGCTCAAGAGAAGACCCTAGAAAATTTTGCTGAATTTTATTTTGCTAACTTTAGACAGCAATATATTACAAAATACAATAGATGTGCATATTGTGTATGCAGGACAGATGCAAGGTTCTTGTGTGTTTTTCCTCTGAATCTATGATATAAGGCCATCCACTCTATTACATCTCAATTTTCATAAGGTAGTATTCATATAAAATACAAATTTTATTGTAACCTAATTATGTACAGTAATGAATCATATGCAATATAGGTGAACAATTTAAGTAGAAAAATTGAAAATAAATACAATATCTTTAAACAGAAATGTCATAATAGATCATTCCATCTTAAATAAATCAAAGTTTTGTGGCAATTTTTAACATCAACTTTTTTCTTGTTAAAAAGCTGAATCATTTTAACACATTCAGCATTATAGAATAAAAAATAGTGAATTTTATATAGTATGTTTTTTAAGACTTAGCATGAGCAAAACAAATTCACAGATTTGGACAAAAAAGACCCCCAGAATGACGTCAAAATCTACAAAAACTTTTTATCCTTTAATAGTCAGTTGTGTTTAGTTTAATTTGTAATGTATATAAATGTAGGTAGAAATAAAGCAAATGTTAATAAGATAGCAAGGGTCACAAAGCACTGAATGAGGGGGCCTGTATCTGTGTTCACGGGGTAGTACGACAGTGACCCTGACTGTATGCATATTTCTCCATCCAGTGTTTTGTAGATGTCTATCCCTTTTCCCAGAGTACACAGACATGGATACTACACTCTGATCCTAAGCAAATAGATATTAATGATTACATTAATTCCTTACCACTGAAGATCACTTCCCCTATTTTCAGTATAGAACAGAATTTCCAAAACCTATTTGAATTTTTCAGTTTTTGGCATAAATTCTAATATTAAATAATTAAATTTTATTTTTAAAAGGTCATATTACTCAGACAATTGTCATTAATTAATAGCCCAAATGACCTTGAACCAAGACTAAATGTCACCAAGAGTAGACTATTACAAATTCTTCTGTGAGTGAGGGACACTAAACAGTACTATGTTGCATAAGATGTTGAGTAAAACATAAAATAACGTTTTAAATGATCAACTTTTTGAATTCTACTCAAATAACCAACAAAAAGTTTAGTATTTTCATACTTCCTGTGTGCTTTTAGTATATCCTGTATAACTACATATGTAATGACTAGAGTGAATCTGATATATTTAGCAAATCCTACCTGTGATATAATGTTACATAAACATCTAGCATGAATAATTTAAATTGTGTCCATTCTGATAAGTAAAATCAACATCATTTTTAATCTGTCTATATTTCTGAGATGAGGTATTATGTACATTATTTAGACTATTGTCCTCATCTTTGTCGCCATATTTATCACGTTTCAGCCTTCTTCAGGTAGTTGGAATGTTGAACTGAATCCTTTATTTCGCTCACTGGGGTAGACTGTTCTAGTTCCATTTGTGATGGATGTCAGTTATCAGTTATCTCCTGTTAATTTCCCTCTGAAAGTTCTCCACTGCCTTAACCGGGTATTGAACTCACACTCTTTGGGTTCTAACTGGATCTAACCAACGCCTTTATCCACTGTGCCATGTATCTTTTGAAAAACAAAAAAACAAATTATAAACCTAATGTCTTCAGCAACCATGAAGACATTAGGTTTATAATACCCAGTTAGAACCCAAAGAGTATGAGTTCAATACCCGGTTAAGGCAGTGGAGAACTTTCAGAGGAAAATTAACAGGAGATAACTGATAACTGACATCCATCAAACATAGCACGTGGAACTAGAACAGTCTACCCCAGTGAGCGAAATAAAGGGTTCAGTTCGACATTCCAACCACCTGAAGAAGGCCGGTTTTACAATGGCCAAAAACGTTGTGATAAATATGGCGACAAAGATGAGGACAATAGTCTGAATAATGTAAATAATGTATCATTCTTAATGTAGTAAGATATTTCTTAGATGATAAGCATTACTGTATAACTAACCCATCTGAATCCTATATGCCTTGTAGATATCTACTGTCATGTCCGTTCAGAACATGAGTGATCATGATTCTCCACAGCTTCCTGTGTTTTGTTGTTCTCGGCAATAATCATTCTTTTGTAAACATTCTTTGTTCTTGTGCTGTTTAAATTCTACAATCTTTCCTTAATATGGGTAAAAACAACTTCAGCAGTGTCTTATAGATTGTCAGCAAGAATTTCTTTGTAGATTTTTGATTTCCTTAAAACTTACTTGTTTCTCACATAAGCTGTCAATGGTATTCTCAATGTTAGTTCACAGAATCATATCTCAGTTATTTCAAGTCTTTATTTCATTTCTGATGAAATTGCCCAGCATTCCTTAACACATAAGAGCATAAACATTCCATAGTAGTTATGTATTGTTTCTCTTTGATTCTAATATCATATTTTTAATCTCTTAATCCCTTACTCAGTTTCTGAAAACATCAGACCTACAAAACTGGAACCTATTGAGAATGCTTAGATGTACTAGTATCCATATGAAAGTCATACATCATATTTAAGAAAACTTCTACTCAGCAGGTTTAATATATAAATATTGGCTGGATTATGTTTTGGCAGGAATGCAATTACACAAGTGGCATGAACAAGCAGACACCAATATTGGTCCATTTTGAGGCAACAGAGATGTGGTTCTACAGAAACATGCTGAGAATATTATGGACATAGCATGTAAACATCAAGGAAATTTTAAGGAAAATGGAAACAAAAATTACACTTATAGTTAGAATCAGAAAAAGACAGTTGAAAATTTCTAAGATTTATTAAAGAAGGGTTAGAAAATATGACACTCACAGGACATACTTTTAAAGGTAAATGAGAGGCAGAGGGAAAACAGTGAGTAACCAATCTAACAAGCTTGTGTAAACAGATGGTAGAACATGGAATGAGAAGGATAGTAAAAAGACAAATATTGCTAAGTGCTACAAAGGATAGGAAATTGTGGAGAGTCATGATCACTCATGATATAGGGAAGAAGAAACAGTCAAGGATTTGAGATTCTCAGTAATCTCAAATAATATTAATGGCTGGTTTCTCATTTCTGAGTATAACCATCTGCAAGAGTGACCAGCTAAACTCTCTTTACAGGTACTTTTACAGTTCTTCAAAAACCACAGAGCTAACCTGGGGTTTAGTACTGCAACTATGCTGAGCAGACCTTAGTACATTTAATCTGGTGTGGTCAGTAGTAGAACAAAACCAGTATGTTCAAACCCTTAATCACAATGTCTTTGGACTTTTTGACAACTGTCAATGGTTTTTGAACAGTTTTGCACAAGTCAACCTAGGGTATTTCTCTTTTCTTTTTTTTAAGGCACTTCCCAATGGTGTTACATACTGGGATTGTCCCCTCAGAATGATATTATCAAAGAATCACTTTCTGGACAAATCAACCATGGTGAGA